AATGCTAAATTATTCGTCTTGAAAAGGTTGCAAGCCAAGACTAAAGTGGAGGGAGTGTTGGTGCATGATTTTTTTATTTGCAGACGATTGTGCACTCAATGCAGCCTATGAAGCTGAACTGCCACAAAATATGGATTGATTCTCTGCTGCTTGTGCTAATGAACACCAAGAAAACACAGGCTCTCCACCAGCCATACATGGAACCATTGGTTACAACAAATGGAGAAGTTTTGAATGCCATGGATAAGTTCACTTACCTAGGCAGTATACTTTCCAGGGATGCACACATAGATGATGAGGTTGATGTATGCATTGCCAGAGCTAGCTCAGTGTTTGGGAGGCTCCAAAGGAAATCGTAGGAGAGAAGAGGTATTAGACTGATTACTCAATTGAAGGTCTACAGAGCCATCATGCTGACCTCATTGTATACCCGTGAAACCTGGAAAATATACCAGCACTATGCCAGGAAACTGAATCATTTTCAGTTTGTATCGTCTTAGGAAGATTCTGAAGATTATCTTGCAGGATAAACCAGACACTGAGGTCCTTTCTTCAACTAAACTGCCAAGCATTCAAACTCTACTGCAGAGAGCAAAGCTCTGATGGGCTGGCCGCATTATACAAATGCCAAATGTATGTTTGCCTAAAAGGGTGTTTTACAGAGAACTCACACAAGGCAAGTGTTCACATGGTGGTCAGAAAAAGTGATATAATGACACTCTCAAGGTCTCTCTTAAGGACTTTGGAATTGTGTGACATGGGAGACACTGGCACAGGACCGCCCAGCATGGCGTGCCCACATCAGAGAAAGTGCTGTCCTCTATGAGCAGAGCAGAACTGAAGGAGCTCAGAATAAGTTCAAGATGCACAAATTTAGAGAATCCATCCCAAATGTTCACACAGACTATTTGTGCCTGACCTGTGGTAGAGTATAATTTGTCTGATGTCTTATCACTCAGTAGAATGGAAGCTCCCTGAGGGCAGGGACTGCTTGATGTTTGGTATTTGTGCCTAACCCAGTTCTGAGCCCACAGTAGGGGTTCAATAAATGCTTTTTAGATTGAATGAGGGAAGCATACTTTAGAGAGACAAGGACCCATGAAACACCTTACTCAATTTGCCTAACTCACCACCTCCACTTCAGATCCAGTCTTGAAGCTCAGTGTTGTTCAGTCCTTTCAGTTGCGTCTGATTCTTTGTGACCCCATTTTGAGGTTTCCTTGGCAGAGATACTAGAGGGGTTTGTCCTTTCCTTCTCCAGCTCATTTTACACATGAGGAAACTGAGGCAAGGAAGGTGAAGTGACTTCCCCAAGGCCACACAGCTAGTAAGTGTCTGACCCAGGATAATCAAAACCTGCCTCCAATACAAACCACCTAGGCAGCCTTGGGTGTGTCATTTGACATGCATCTGTCAAATGACAAGTTTGGCCAGCTGAAGCCCTTTGAAGCTCTAAATCTGAGTCCATGATTGATCACAATAAAAGAACTTCCACGGAACAAAAAAAACAGATGACTGCCACCGACTGTCCTCTGTCTGTGTGTGTGTGTGTGTGTGTGTGTGTGTGTGTGTGTGTGTGTGTGTGTGTGTAAGACAGAGGAGTCACTTCCTCATCAGCATCGATGTTTCATCCCGGGCCCCAACTTTCCATCCCTAACAAGCTAGCCATCACCTTTGGGATTGGCTCCATTGCTGAGAGGTCAGCTCTCCACCTCCGAGTCATAAAGAATAGGACTGTGCATGGACCGAGAAGTAGGAGATTGAATGGCTCGAGGATTGACGTGGCCACCAGGCCTCATACATCATCAGTGCTGAGCGTGGAAGCCTCCTTGTCCAGAAGAAATGAAGAGAAGCCCAGACTTTTCAAAGCAACAAATCAGGGTAGACATTGCCAGAGTCTCCTGGGAGCTCGGGCCTTTGGCTGAAGCTTTTGTTGGTGGCATGAAACGGAAGAGGCCTCGGTGCCTTCACAACTTTGGGGCTTCCATAGACAAAAGCTCTGAAGACCCTCCATAGACCCGGGCCAGCAGAAATCGAATTAACATCTTTTAGGGAAGGGCTATGCTTTAGGGAAGACAGACACTGTGGCCAATGTGTATTCCAGATGTTTCAGAGAACCCATTTTAAAAGCAGAACAAACTGGAGTGGCTCATACAAGGCCTTGCCCCTCCCCCCTTCTTGGGCTGAGATCCTGGCGGTCTTACTATTCTTAGAATTGTGGAACTTTAGAGCAGGAAGGCATTTCTGCCCAATCCTTTTACTTTGCGTATGAGGAAACTGAGGCCCTGAGAGATAGAGGAAGTCTTGTCCAAGCTCACGTGCACAAATAGCACTTCTAATCAGCACTCAGGCATCCTGCCTCTCAGCAAAGTGGGTCTTCTGAGTGCATCCTTATGATGGTAATCACTTCTAAAAAAAAGAGAAAAACTGAATTCTCTGGAAGAACAAATAACGTGCTAAGAGAAAAACGAGATTATTGCATAAAACTACAGTTACAGGAAAGGGCCAGATCCTAGGAGTTAGAGCCAGGATGGACCCTGGGAAATTATCTGGTACTATCCCACCCTTGCCTCATTTTACAGAGGAAAGAACACGAGTCCGAGGAAATTTGACTCAATTCAGGAAGGGCTTATGAAAATCCTGCTGGGAACAAAGCGCTGGGCTAGGCACTGGAGAGACAGATGAAATGGTCCCAGTTCCTGAAAAAAGCAAATATTCTACTGGAGAGGAGTGTGGGGTAGGGGATAAAACACGTACACATACACAAAGCAATGGTGGGGGCAGGGACTGTGGATCACTAATGACTGGGGATGGGGAGGAAATCAGTGTAAGAGGGGGCACTTGAGTTCCCCTGAAGGAATCTGTGGGTTCTAACGGATGGAGGTCATGAGAGAAGAAATATAGTCATGGGGTACAACTTGAACAAAGTTGGTTGGTTGTCCTACGAAGGTGGAAAGGAAGATCCCTCATGGGCAACAGGAAATAAGCCATCTGGGGTGGGATATAGACTGGGGAGAGGAAAGGGAATAATGGGAAATTTTTTTGGAAGTGGAGGTTGGAGCCAGAATCTAAACAGCTTGAATGACTTGCCCAAGGTCACCATACCCATGTATACCCTACCACTTAAACTGGGGTTACAATGTGTAGTAATGAAGCCATGGTACATACAGAAGATGTATGGGCAGCCCAAGAAATACACTGATCTGAACAGAATAGAAGGTAAGCTCCTTGAGGGAAGGGACTATTTCAACTTGAGTTTTGGATCCTTTGTGTAGCCAGTCCATAGTAGGTTCTGAATGAGTGAATAAAAAAAAACATTTAGGTGCTTACTAGGTCCAAAACATGGTGTAAGAGCTGGGGATACATATAGAAAAGCAAGCCAGCCCCTGCCCTCAACATCAACATGCAGGAGGTCTCAGCTGCAAGTCAGGCAGTAAGACTCAGTGGTCCTTGGGGTGCATCTCCTCACGTCAAATGATAAAATCATTTCAGTCTCTGAAGCTGAACCGCTTCCCAAAGCCAAGGACTTCAGCCTTGGGAATTTTCAGGTTCTCCAGTAGCCATGGTAGCTGAGGAGGTTGGGGCCATAGTGCTTGTACAGGAAGTTGCTAGGTCCTGCCGCCATGGTAGTTGCTTTCCCGGGTGATGGCTATAGGCCAAGTTGGAAGCAGGGCTGGCAGTCTGGAGGCTCTTGGTGTTGATGGTGATGGGGATGGAGGACCCTTCCCTCACAAGGATTCCTCCCTTGGATGATGGCTACAAAGCCTGGAGTGGGGGTCTGGGGTTGCTGCTATTCCCAGAGCTCTTGGGTTCAGGGTTCTGGGCTGTCTCCATCATGGTCTGAGGGGAACAGTTGGATGAGGTAGTGTTTGCCTGGCTTGGCACATTCTGCCTTCTGTCTGTCCTTCATAATGCTTTGCTGCTCAAGCTAGCCTAGCTTGCCTACCCCAATAATGGCTGTTGATTGATAAAATGCTATATTAGAAAATAATCAAAATCATATAATAAGAGTTAACATTTATACAGCACTTTAAGATATGCAAAGTGTGCAAATCTCATTTGATTCTCATAATGATTATTATCCTTATTTTACAGATGACGAAACTGAGGCACAGAGATGTTCAGTGATTTGCCCAGGGGTCACACAGCTAATAAATGTCTGAGGCAGGATACAAACTCAGTTCTTCTGGATTCCACATCCAGCACTCTATCTATGCTGCAAAGGTTTCACCACCATATTTCTATGTCAGGTACTTTGGCCCTGTCTCGGTTTTCAAAGTTTTAGAAACATATGAAGAAAAAAGTGTTAAATATATACAGAAATTTGGTTGAGGCGAAGCTTCAGAAGCTTCTCTGATTGTTGCATTTATATACCTTGATACTTTTGTGCATGGGATTTCCAATCCAAAGAAGAATGAAATATTAAGTCCCACAGCTTTGTAAAGTCAGGGGTCCCCAAAGTCACGCAATCTTTATCTCAACCTCAATCTAAAGGGTTTTTTTTTTTAAAAAAAAAAGCCTTGAAGTTTCTTTCATCTGCTGTAACTTTGCCACCTCCTTTTTACTTCAGATTCTTTTTTCACAATATGGTAAGAGTTAAACGATTGATAATGTGGCTTAGTAAATAGGGAACTGGGTCTGGGGTCAGGAAGACCTAGGTTCAAGTCCTGCCTGACATATACTGGCTGTGTGACCCTGGGCAAGTCACTTAGCAAGGCCCCCAGACAAGACTATGAGACTATAAGTTGCAGTGTAGGTACTAATCTCCATTAGTTAAGGAACTTTTCTCACTGAAAGTTTGTCAAAGAAATCACAGTTATGGTCTTTAAGTTCTTTTTTAAAATTAAAATTTATTTATATTTCAAATAACAAAGATTTATTTTTCTTCCCCCTCCCCTCTTTTCCTTATTGGGAAAAAAAAATATTGTAACAAAGAAACATGGTCAAGCAAAACAAATTGCCATGTTGGCCACACCCAACCATGTGTCTCATTTTGTGTCTTGAGTTGATCTTCTCTATGTCACCTCTCTAGTGGATCACATTCTTCATCACTGATCTTTTGGAATCATGTTTGATCACTGCATTGATCAGAGTTCTTGGGTTTTGTTAAAATTGTTTGCCTTTACAATGTTGTTATGCATAAATTGTTCTCCTGGTTCTGTGTGCTTCATTTTGCATCAGTTCATACAAATCTTTTCTGATTTCTATGGAACCACTGTCCCCAATTGAATAAATGTCATAGGATAATAACAAATCACATTTCTTAGGAACCATGCAGTTTCCAAAGTGTTTTCTTCACAACAATCTGGTCAAGTAAGAAATGCATTTCCGCACCCCCCCCAGCCCCCATCACTATACAGACATGGAGCCTGAGGCTCAATGTATCTCGCTGTCCAACGTCATTCAGCTGTGAGGCAGCACAGCTGAAATTGGAGAGCTAGTCTCCTGACTCCAGTTCAGGCTTCTTTCCACAATTCATTCTTACTTTAAAATAAATCACATAATCCTCATGGCTGTACAATGCTTCTGTAAAGTTCATTTTTGGAGGAGGAAAAAAGTTATCATTTGTTTGAAATGTATTTTTTAAACAATGAAAACATTTTCTTATCAATTTAAAAATTTGAGTGAAGATGTAGTAATATAAACAGATTTCTAGAAATCACAGATTCTTTTCAATTTTCTATATTTTCTCTTGAGAGGTAAAGCCCCTAAGTTCCTCTGAGGATTTCTGGTAGCCATCAGTAAGGTTCCCATCCTTTTCCAAAAATAAAGCGGTTGATCATGTCAAAAGACCGTAGGGGTTGGTCATTGGGTAAGATGTGTCCTCCGCCCCGAACAATTACCTTGAGAGTTGGGAAGGAAAAAAAAGAGAATTAAATATAGAGAAACAAGAGATGCTTCTACACTAATGAGGAGCACTGAATCCCAGAATGGGATTAAGAGGGTACACAATCAGCATTTATTGAGTGCCTACCATTTTCAGCCACTATGCTGGGTTTAGCATTACAAGCTGTATCCAGGGTAAGTATCAGGAAAATCATCCTCCTTTGGAAAGGAAGGAACACCACCCTGTGGACATTGGATCCCCAGTGGAGAACTGGAAGTGACCAAATAAATCACCTATTCCAACTCTCTTATTTGGAGATGATGAAACAAAAGACCAGAGAAATGACTTGTTCAAGGTCACAGAGGTCGTAGAGAACTAGGATAAAATTCAGATTGTAAGATTCCTAGTTCAGCACTCTTTCTAATGCATCTCACTATCTCCTTTTGTGGGGACAAAGACAACAAGATGTTGGTTCGAGGCCAGTTCTGGGAAGGCTGCTGGGGGTTGGGGTGGTGGGGAGAGATTAAGAGGAATGGGGGAGGTAGTTACCCCAGTGCATTTAAGGACAAGTGCCGTCAGGATCCTTTAAATTTGGCACCCTAGGACAAAGCTCTGGTTGTCTGCCCTAGTTATGTCTTTGATCATAATTTATGGCTAGCCGGCACGCATTTGAGGTTTAAACCATCATCTCTTCAAGTCCAAATCTAAGCTTTTCATCAGTATATACATGTTCCATTTTTGTCACGGAAAACTGGAAGCAAATACATCTGACAAGACCTCCTTCATGTGACTCCAAGGGCAATCTTTGTTGGCTTCCACCCCCCAACATACAAATGCACACGCGCACACACGCGCACACACACACACACACGCACACACACACACACACACACACTCTCTCTCTCTCTCTCTCTCTCTCTCTGTCTCTCTCCCCCCCTCCCTCCCTCTCTCTCTCTCTGTCTCCCCCCCTCTCTCTCTCTCTCTTCCTCCCCTCTCTCCTCCCCTCTCTCTCCCTCTCTCTCTCTCTCTCTCTCTCCACACACACACACACACACACACACACACCTTAAAATTAGGTCTAGGTGGTTATCTGATGGGAGACTTCTGTATAATCTCAGCCCAAATGAGATTTCACTAAGTCGTGAATGTGACGAAGCACAGCTGCTGAGTCCTGAGATGGGTTTGGCAGAAATGCTCAAGAAGAGTTAAGAGCTACCCACATGAGGCCCAGACACATTGCTGCTGCTGGGGAAGTCTGACAGCTCAGACGGTCGCCTTTGTGTAGGACTCTTCCCTCCTTGCAGGATCGGAGTCCAGGGACACGCTCTCCAGAAAAGCTGCTGATACCAGACTGGTCTGAGACGAATCCAGAAGTATGATCAAAGGAAATCTGGTCCTTAGACATCAGAATCAAAACCCTGCTGCGATTTTCCACCCTTTTTCCTCAGTTCATAAGTCTGTGAATCTTTTAGAACACACTTGGGGGGGGGGGACAGACAGGAAGATCTATCTTTGCACCCAAATCCACCCTAATTAATTTCTTGAGACAAGAGTGAGACCACACCATGTCCGACCTGGAAGAGGTTGGTGCCATCTTCTCAAAGACTACCCTGAAACAAGTGGTTCCCATCGCTGGAACCCAGATCTAGTCCTAGAAGGGACCTCAGGGGCCGTCCAGTCCAAACCCTGGGAACTAAGACCCCAAAAATGAAATGCTCAAGGTCAGATATGAAGTTGTAACACATAGTAAGTAGAGATGTACAGGAGGCCATCCCAGATCCCCCAGCTGCTAGTGCCTTCTCCTCTAAGGTGACCTTCTATACTCTCTATACATCTTTTATGTGTGAAGAATGCAAATTATTCTAATTCACACTACACATTTCCACTGGGCTAGAACCAATTACCCTATTTTATATAATTATAACTCAAATTCAAATACACGTGGCCACTTGAGAAAATTCACTATTCACACTAATTAGGACCTGCCTGTATCCACATATTTCTATATTTTTTCCCCATTACAATATGGGCTTGAGAGCAGACACTGTTTTTCCCTCTCTTTGTAGTACCAGTTCTTAGCGTAATGCCTGGCTAATAATAAGTAGGTGCCTAATAAATGCTCATTGGCTGATTCTGTAACCCCAGCCCTTAGCACAGTGCCAGGACAAAGGGAGAATTTAATAAATGTGTATTGACCAAGGACTGCTTGCTGAATTATTAAATAATGGAGTTTTGACTCTTCATTCCACACGTGGACACACACACACGTACAGAGCCACCCAGTCTCCCTCCTTGACTGCCATGATCTCCACTGCTGGCTCTGATGTTGGCAAACCCAACTGGGGTTTGAGGCAAGGGGACCCAGGTGTCCAAGTTCTCACCTCCATGGCCCATTTCTGAAGGCGACCACACCCTACTTCGAGTTTGCAACCACAGGGAAGAACTTAGACCCTTCTTCAAAGGATTCCTAGTAAGGGGGCAGCTAGGTAGTGCAGTGGATAGAGCACTGGCCTTGACATCAGGAGGACCTGAGTTCAAATCTGGCCTCAGACCAAACACTTGACACTTATAGCTGTGTGACCCTGGGCAAGTCACTTAACCCCAATTGCCTAAAAAAAAAAAAACCAAAAAACCAAAAAACAAAGGATTCCTAGTAAATTGATGGAGTCTTCAGGGGTGGGAGCCACCCACAATACATTCCTAGGCCAGCTGGAAAGGCTCCAAGCCACCTTGACCCTCACCACACATTCTCTCTTCTTGTCCCTTTATAAACTCTTCATATCCCCTTTGGTATTATAGGTATTTGTGTGGGCGATGCATTCCCCTACCATGAAAAGAGATTATAAACTCCCAAAAGGCAGAGTCTGAGTCTTGTTTAACCTTCCTTCCGTGGCCTTCACCTTCACTTGGAATAAGGAGGTGGTCCTGGGTACTTGAAGGCCATGTTAGTAGAGCTCACGGTCTGGCTTTGGTATGCATCATTGATGTTCCAGGCAAGTGACACTCAGAAAGGCTGGCCAAAGGATGATGAAGTCTTTGGGCCTGGTGGTTCAAGAAGACCACCTGGTAAAGGTACCAAGAAGGTTTTAATCTGCATTGCTGGAAGGTGCCTCCACCCACACCAATGAAAATCATGGGCCAATCTCCTCTCCTGGGACATACAGCAAGATAAATCAGGTCCAGAGAGCAGGGGGAAGGAAAAAGCTCCTACCATGTGCTCACAAAGCTGAAATGAATTGACCAGGGTCACACAGCTAGAAAGGCAAGATTTGAGCTGAGGTTTCATGACTACAAACCGAGCACTGTATCCACTATGTCATCCTGCCCCCAGGGTAATTCTATCATCGCCAGCAGCAGCATTTATACAGAGTTTTAAGGTTTGCAAAGAACTTGACAAATATTTTCCTGTTGGATCCTCACAACAACCCCAGGAGATAGTTGCTATTATTATTACCCCCATTTGACAGATGACAAAACTGAGGCTGAGAGAGATTAAGTGACTGGCACACAATTCTAGCTCCAGTCACAGCCCCATCTAGTAAAGAGTGAGCTTCTGTTCCTCCTCCCTCTCAATCCTCTTTGAATAATTTCAGCAAAGCAGAACTGAAGGAAGGAAACCCCAAGAAGCTGGCAGAATACCTCTGCCCTGGTGCTGCCGCTGTACTATCATCATTACTCAAAGTACTATGAGGAGGCAGCAATGGGACCTACTATGTGTCTTGTTTTTCATTCTTAGGTAAGCTCCTGGAATATAGATTCCTGGAAGGCAAGGACTATTTTTTAAAAATCATTGCCTTTGCCTTGCATAATGCCTCACGCGTAGTAGGTGATTTAGTAAATTTGTGTTGAATTAAATTGAAGGAACTATTCTTTTTCTTATGGCATTTTTATTTGGACTTACACAAACACTGAAGCTTGTGCTACGTGCTATAAATAGGTCTACTGTATCTACTATAAATAGTGTGATACAGTGACCAAAAACCAGACTCACTTCTGCTCTTTAAACGCAAGTGAATTTTATTTGTATTTATGGCTGGAGGCTAGTTCAACCAAAGAGTGTCATTTTCTAAACATGAAATAAAATAAAATAAAATGGACTTGAAATGTCCCCGTTCAATGTGAATTTAAAAGCTTAATGGACTATATTCTGGTCCTCCCCGGTGCTCCCATTAAATCCCAAGCAGTCATTTACTTGTAAGTGGGAATGTGTAAATGACAGCTTAATGTGTCCACACACACACATCCTCATGAGAGTGACTTAGTCACTGATGAAGAGAGAGGATGGTGACCTTGTCTAAATCTAAAAAATCTCAACATGCTAGCACAGTTAGCTGTATCAATAGTCTGTCAACAAACATTTACCAAGCCTCTACCATGCACCAGGCACTGTCGTAGGTGCAGGGGATACTAAAAGAGACAAAGAGGGAAAAATGGAAAATTCTACATATGACTTCAAAACATCTATGCTACAAGTATGGGGAGAGGGAGATACTGACCAGGTCCATTGAAAAAAACCTGGGGGGGCAGCTGGGTGGCACAGTGGATAGAGCACTGGCCCTGGAGTCATGAGGACCCGAGTTCAAATTCGGACTTATACACATAACATTTACTAGCTGTGTGACCCTGGGCAAGTCACTTAACCCCAATGCCTAGCAAAAAAAAAAAAAAGAGCTGAGAATCTTAGTGGCCCATTAGCTCAAGATGGGTCAACAATGTGGCATGCCATAGGCTAGATTAAGAGTTATAATGTCCAGGATGAGCGCAGTTGTATTCCATTTCAGTCAGCATGGTATTCAGTGCCGGGTGCCATGTTTTAGGAAGAACAGACGAGCTGAAGTAGAGGATGCTGGGCAGACAGTGGAACCTGGACTGGACCACGCCATCGTATCCACAAAGTACACACACTGACTACACGCTATAGGCAGCTCATGGTATGATGAAAACAATGACATTGAAACAAGGAGATCGGGGTCGAGTTGGGAAGATTCCACTTCTCACCACTCCTGTGACCACCTA